CTGGATGCGCCATTGGCAACCGGCATTTGGCCAAAACTGGGTCACGATTGGCCGTTGGGTCCAGATTTCTGACCAATCAGATCTCGCCTTGATGCCGGACCGGTAAGCGTCCCGAATTCTGGGCCAACCTCGAGCGGGCCAGGCTTATCGACCGTAGCAGCGCCTAAAGACGTGCGGTATAGTAGGATCCGTGTGGATTCCTGCCTAACACCAGGTGACAGCAGCACGCAGTTATCGGAAATGTTTAATTCACAAAAACGAGTATCTGGATGACGGACAGCAAGGTATGTAAAGCGCACAAAAATGTACACCGAAGGACGTCGTAAACCAAGTTATCACGTTGACGTATAGAGATACATCCCCAAAAGATACAAGTGACGCAATAATGAGGGTGGGGGGGGGGCAGGAACGCACCGGTGCGTCAAAATCGGGCAAGCCAGACGTGTGTGTGTGCATATGGAGATAAGAAACAAAAGAGATGAATGTGAAAGATACGGTAGAACAGGCGCATAAGTTGCTTGGCCATAGGTACAGATTGATGTGCACCGTTATGTTATGCGGACCTTCAGCGAACCGAAAGGTCTTGTGCTGAACGGAGAGCATCGGAGCATAGTAAATTTAGAAGTAGTTGATGGATCATCAAAACCGGGAAGATCACAGATTTCGGTAGACTACACCATGCTCTCACCGAATTTCGAATACCTGCCACGACATCGTGAGTGACAAGTGACCCACGGTTTGAACACGTTCCAGCGGGGTGTTCGGAAAAATTTTCGGATCTCGGAAACCACAAACACGGTAGAACTGAGACATACGAGGAGCAGCAGATCTACATGGGTGGACACGGACATGGGAGGAATGGATTGAGAAAAAAACAATCGAAAAAAGCGGCTCTATCCAAATTAGACATTTAAGTGCTGTTTTCCGATAGACCGCAAATAAATTTGAAATAAATTTCAAATAAATTGAAATATCCAGTAAGCTATAACAAGTTCTTGCGTAAAACCGTGGTCGCAAGAGATGCAACGGCGGTACCATTGAAACTGGAGATTGGTTTTTCAAAGTTGTACTTGATGGACTCAAGTAAATCAAGTGCCCTGGAGGATAACATGGACGCAGTGAGCTCGGGATTGCCGCTGCTCTACTCAGGGAATAAGTCATCTCCATTTCAAAGTCAAAACAAAAGGCAAACGAAGTTATCAGAAGGTTCAGTTCGAGATGCCACGTCGCTAATGGCCGTCCCTCTAGCTGGAAGCTAGAGAGGATCGCAACAACTCGAACCGCTTTGTGTATTTAATTTAGGCCAAAGGGAAGTCAATTGGTTGGCTGGTTTCAATGGAGGATGAGTACCCTTGTCAGATGCGTATTTTCCATTGGATATCTTGAGAACGTGTGTCGTTTTACGACACGGGGACGTGGAAAACGCTTTCCAACAGTAGTTGCTACATTATTGGCGGCTGGGTCTAGTACTCACAAGCGCCTAGGTCAGATTAACGATGTCAGGACTAATGAGAACAGGACGTCTAGGATACGATAGGGTTTTACACTGAGGTCACCAAATGTGAAGAAACATACTGGCAAACAAACCACATTTATTAGTTTGGTTCCTCGAACCAATCCTATCTTTTGTCAGTGGTTCAAACAGCAACAAAGGGTCGTGGGGGTCCTTTTAGCCTGCTGTCTGAATTGCGAATGATTTCACAGTCCCAACACGTGTTTATAGCGTTCGGATGAGTGACTAATGTGTAAAGATTTCAGAGGTGTTGGCCTACGGCTCAGGATTTGATTACTGTGGTTTATTTCAAAGATATTGGGTCAAAAAACCGTACTTGTGTGCATTATCAGTCTATCGTGGAGTCAGTATTTCCGTAGAGAATCGGAATATAATCAGAACGCCATCAGAACCATCTCTCCGTGAGAAATTTTCACTACGGGATGTACCAAAGAGACTATAACTTAAAAAATCTGGGAATCAGAGAATAAGTGCGCTCTAAAGAGGTACGGATGAGTGAAGGTTTCGCTCCTTCAGGGGACTATTTAGTTCACACTGAATCAGAACAAATAAACCTGCCCAGGTGTGTCATTTCTTCAGTGCATATCTACGATGCAGCCGGGAGGAAGCAAGAGACGGAGAGTCCACAGGATTGCGATGTTTGGATACACTGAGAAGAGCAGTGAAATCTTCACTAGCGAAATACCTGTAGGACTGAACTGGACTTTGAACTGGACTTCACCCTCACCAATTTGAAAGTGAATTACTGTATGTATGTCCAACAATTGAGACAAAATCTGCGTTTTCTTGAGCAAAGGTCCCCGAATTCCTACGTAGCGGTAGTTAGCCATAGTGCGACATGACATTATTTACCAATTTGTTGGCAATTTGGCTCCAAATAGCACCTACCGGAGACCGAGAGCGATTCCGTTTGGAACACTTTCTGTAACGGAGGGAAGTAGATGACCAGTAGCTGCCCAAACAGTGACAAGGAGACAGCGATAAGGAACATCCGATTCGTGGTGAAACCAAGCGAAAAAATCGATTTCTTCTGCGGGGTATAATGGCGAAAAGAATGAGGTGTGAGGTGTCGACATCATGGAAGCAGTAATATGCGAACATTCATTCAGTGAAGGTCATATTATTCCGAACTGTTTTGTTCACCGTTAAACAAAAGAGCGTGTCCCGGAAGGAAATAAACAGTGTTATCTATATCGAACTATTGAAAACAGGCAGACAGAAATAATAGGCCATTCTGCATAGAAAGTCATTCCCCCACAGAGCTGACTCAGGAAACATGCTGAAAGCTGGCTTCCAGAAGAATAAGGAGTCGGTTGACGCAAGGCGGTACGAAAGAAGCAGTAGTTTAGCCGTACTTGTGGCCAAAATGTGATCACCGACTTCTACAAAAAGTTTTCTCTAGGTTTATTCAAGTAGAATGCTGAATACCCTGTTCATCCCTCTTGTTTATTAGACCGATAGGACGATTTGAGCGATGCTGCAGGTACACCGTTTCAGGAACGTATACAGGAAAACAGACTGTCATGGCTTGGTCATGTGCTGCGTTTGCCAAGTTATCACTACCGGAGAGGAGTCTATGTGTCCGTGGTGAAATCATAGTGACGTAAAATAGGATATGGACTATGCAGAAAGGGGAGTAACCAGATCTATTCTGCACTTTGCTACCGATGCAGCGAGCGAGTGCCACTGACGTTCGCGCTCATGGTTTCTGACCCGACTGTCACTCGACTATTGGTGGTTTGGGGGCCCTGAATGATCACACGAAAAAAAAGCGCTTAAGACCAGTATCGCTGTGCACCCTTCCGTGTAAATCGGCTTTTCCTCTACTGAATAAAACTGTATTTCAAACCTGATGCTGCTGTCAATAACGCCGACAACCCGGAAACAAAGAGGCTACAGCGTTCAGCGATAAGACGAATGCATGACTTCGAGAAAACACGCAGTCGGAATCTATCCCACAGATTCATGGCATGGCAAAACCCGAGAAAGGTTTCATCTTGTCATGATATCCTAGCTAGCCGGCTAGCTGTACTATTCGGCCTAATCTTGGGATGAACTAAGTCGAACCACAGTTTCCATCATCTCATACGTTTTCCAATCACTCAAAAGTAAGCCAAAGACCTCAGTTAAATGAGGAAGTGGCTCCATCACAGATCAAGCGATACGCTCAGGAATAGTTAAACTTTGGTGGAAATATTTAAAACTTCTATAGTAAGCAGTCTCACTCTCCCGATGATGCATCAACCAGTAGTATAATACCAGAGAGCACTCTGGAAGCTATGGCCACTAGACTGATGCCTCAGTGGTTTCCAAACAATGTTCCTGCACCCTTTTTGATACAAGAATAACGGCCGTGGCGAACCATTCTTTCAGTATCCTGTCTCTGTTCCAGACATTTTACAGTAAGACCATCAGACTAGCTATTGGAAGAAGTGAAAGAAACCATGAGCACAGTCAGAAGATAAACCTACCTGAGAACGAAAACTGAGCGCGTTGAACATGTCGAACAAGACGAAACATGTGAAAGTCATGGTTGTGTCTCGAGGAGTCACGTGATTGTCTGCGAGCTCCAGCCAGAATATACCGAAAGTGCCTATCAGAATGGTACTCGCAGCGAACAGGACATTCGTCATCAGTTGGCGGTCCAGAATAGGGTCTTGCGACCTTCGAGGTGGTTGCTTGATTACCTGCAAAAACGAACAACTAAGTTAGGACGGTGGACAGTGTGTGCATATGCCTCAAAAATTGTGGCAAACCCTTCCATTCCACAGCACAATGAAAATAAACAGAAGGCAACATACTGAACCAGAAAAACTGAACCAAGTGCTTATGTACTAATAATGGTGGTAACAATACTAATATAAGTATTGAACAAGGAGAAGTAACCCACTAAAACTGTTGTGTTTGTGTGGAAGCAATTGGGAGGGTGACAGAAGGTCGTTCGCATCAGCATACATGGTTGACAGTCAAGCAGTCGACGACATTCCGCACTGTAACCCATAGAACAATACTCTTAGACGATCGTGAAACTCGTTCGAATACGCAATAGTGTCTCCCAAGATTGCGATACTGTTTTCTCTCGCTCTTGTTCCTCCATACGGATGCACGATCGTGGTAACTCACTATGTGGCGTTCAGCCGTAGCATCCTTCCGGTGCCTAACTGCCATGCCACCCGAAGGTTGCACAAGGGCTGGGATACTGCCAGGTTGCCCAGGCCTAGACAGGGGAAGTCGAGAGGCAGAGGTCGGGTTCGAACCACAGACCTTGCGGTCAGTAAATTCGCGCTCTAACCACTTGAGCCATCTCACTATGTAGCGTTGAGATGAAGTTTAAGAGCGTAAAAACCATAAGTCAGACAGAGCTTGGGAGACGACTGAAACATAACGGACTGACCAATGTAACCGGCATTTTGGTCCACAGCGAAACCGTTGCTGAGACATTACTAACCGATCTACTTTTACGCCGCTAAACGTAACTGGAGTAGGTGTGTCGTGCGCCAGTGCCAAGAGGCCAATAAATAAAGTGAACAGGTGCCACGAGGAAGAAGCTGATCGCACAGTCTATTATTGCGTGTAGGTACGGCCGAACAAGCAGTTTGTCAAATTAGTTGATGTGGATTACACCCATAAGATACAAAAACGAATGAAGTAAAATTTTGCGGGGAAACGGCATATAAATCGATGTGCACAACCATCGCATACGTTGCGGTTCCCTCTAACAATCGCTTTGGACAAATCACTATGCAACTATCAAACAAAGATTTCAATCGAGATTTCATCCTGTAGATGAAGACAACCTATGCTGAGAAACCGAGAAGCACTGCGCAGCTCTTTCATCCTTACTTGGAACTAGTGGCAGTACACATCTCACAGTGGTTCGAACTTGCAACCTTCCGGCTGGCAGTTGAAGGTTAAACATTTCGACCACGAGCGGTGTGACTAACTTATTCACAGGCATGATACAGAGCCACTCGCCCTTCATTCATAGGATTCACGCCACGTGATCGCATGTTGATTGCCTGCTCGATTAGTCTTTTTACCAACAAATTTGTTGGAATTCCATGAAGCGCAGAGTTATCCGAGAAAACAGCGATTATCAGGCCAAATTCTAGGTGTTTCAGTTCTTTCGACGGATCGAACTGGACAACGTTAAAAACGAAGAACAGCCGTGTGTCAGTCAGGTGAGGAAAACTGTTTGGTGCATCAGGATTCACGTGAACTCTAACCACCAGATTTTTTTGGAAAGCAATCCAAATGAAGTTCCCAAAAACGATCGGAACAAAGACGGAAAATATCTGAAGGTACTTTGTTGCTCAGCGTCTACTTCTAAGTAATGCCGGGATACTGAAACGTGAAAAGAGTTGTGCCAGTTCGACAACAGTACCTCATGGAGAAAGTCAAAGGTCTCATTATGGTTTGCAACAGCATTTCAGAGTGTTGTAGTAACGGTATTTTCCTCAGCTCAGTTCTCGGTCTCGTCAAAACAACCACCAAAGATGCACAAGGTCTAGTAATGCCCCAAACGAAGTCAAGAACAGTTGTACAGCGCTTCGTACATATAGCGTAAGCGGTTATAGCTTTCTGGAAGCTCTGACGCGTTCTGGATGCGGCATTGGCAACCGGCATTTGGCCAATACTGGGTCATGATTGGCCGTTGGGTCCAGATTTCTGACCAATCAGATCTCGTCTTGATGCCGGACCGGCAAGTGTCTCGAATTCTTGGCCAATCTCGTGCGGGTCAGGCTTACACGCCGTAGCAGCGCCTAAAAACGTGCGGTAAAGCGGGATCCGTGTGGAATTCTGCCTAATAAGTGTGCACCCTCAGTGTTTAAGGGAGTTGGTCACGATACATCTTAATGTCGTACTTCATTTTGTTGAAATTTCGCGCTCGTCAAAAACCACGAAAATGATTGTTAGACTAATCTGTTCATTTCTAACCTTACCAAATGTTTATTAGAACGGGCAACGCAAATACCGTGCTCTTCGTCGAGTTCACCGCATGAACCAATGGAAAGGAAAATGCGGTGCTGTAATGAATAAAGGCGTGAATACTAATTGATCACGTGATTTTGTCAGATCTGGCCAAGCCAGCATAGTTGCAACAGGGGATATCAAACCTTGCTGCAAATCAGTGGTTACGCGGAGTGGTTTGATGAGATACGATTGAACTAAATCACGTACTATTCTGTCGGGACATTGCCACAACACAGATAGTTAAAATCGTTTGAGAGTCCTGTTGATTCCGTGCCCCATGTAGGAATGCTTTGAAAGATGAAATTGCGGCGAAGACGCCTCGAATTGAAATTGCCGAAGCCTCAAAAGAGGGCTTTTAAGGGTATCCTAAGGAAGTTGTCCCTTCAGGGATTTGGAGGCCGTCCCACGGTTTACAGTCTGATGAAGTGGTAGGTGTAAGTTGATTACAACGGCCTGTGAGACAAGCACACATTTTGTCATCAACACCATCGTCATTACTGGCAGTGGTTTTAGAGTGATACATTTTGCCTGGTTTACAAATCCTTATCTTTCGTTCCATAGCGTTCATTGCGGTTCCATATGAGTCTGTCAAGCAGTGTAATGGTGACGTTACTCGGGTGGAAAGTGATAAAACGCAACACGGTCACCATCCAATCATCGTTGTCAACAATGTGTTTGCGCTCGTATTGTATTGCGTAGTGTATTATGTATCCATAATCCTATTGTGAGATGATCTAGCCACCATTTTTCACACGCCAAAACCAAATGTTTCCTAATTTGTTGTTATTTTTAGGCAGGGATCTTCCAGTACGCAGCTATCCGCTAGCGTTGTTTGGTGGTCGCGTTATGATAGGCCCATGGATGGGCGGCAACCACAATGTTTGAATGTACAGAATCTGATCAGTGCGTCTTGAGCCAAAAGGAATTCGCGTAAATTCGGCTTCAGTAGTTTTGATGGACAACGATGCTCACACTCACTCACAGTCCAACTCCAAATATGGCATAATAAAAGCTGAGAAAAATCCCACACTTTGGAGAACAGCGCGAGCATCTTTGACCCCGTGGAAGTACGTAAACTTGGCCAAGAGGTTCAGATTATACCATTCAACGGCATTCCACTGAAGCTTCTCACCAAGTCGTAATAAACCAGGTTGAAATAGCATGCACATGGAATCTAAGTAGTATTTTGGTTGAGAATTTGTAGGTAAGGAAATGTAGTGTAATACCCGGATAAAATGGATTGCGGAGAGTCGAACATATGGACCCCAGCAGCCCGAAAGTTCGAGGTTTCTCAAACTCAGCAAGCGGAAAGTGCAACAATGATGCGCGTGCACAAAACATGTACAGTATACCCTCGTTGGTCTCAAGTGTGGGCTTTTCTGTCGACTTTGGTGGTTGTCATGCCTTCACGCACTCGACTTCCGTCACACGAATCACGTGACTCTGTGCGCGTTGCCGTGGAAGAGATATACACAGTTTCTCTCAATTCAACGACTAAGTTACACTAGTTCGACTATGCCTTCTGGAACATACTGATAGTGTGCAGTGTCCTTATAGACACGACAGATACTACCCAGCGCGGGTATCTGACGTCATCAGAGGGAGGAGCATGTATACAATTGACACAATCAATCTAGTCATTCAGCTGTGAAATGGGCACCAAAGAACGGTGTTTCCAGCTGTTACATTACGTTCACTGCGGATGTAAAGAATGAGGTAATGCGTTGGAGGCGATAACCCAACTAGCTTATTGACATTAAATTGTTCGGTTTGTCTGGTATGGTATGCAGCGAGACAGATAAGCCGTGAAGGCACTAACTTTGATGTGAGATCGAAACTGGCGGTGTGACAGGGTTATATCATCAAGATCAATAACTACTAGTTTGATCTGTCCCGAGTCCACGTCCGAGAAGTCTGCAGTTGTCAACGTGGCTGATTGTTCCGTAAGGACTTTCACTTGCTGACCGTCCTTGGGTCATCTCCATCCGAGACAAAGCAGGACAAATAGGGCTCCATGAGGCCATCTGCCTTCTGGTGTACGAAGTATATGACCTAACCAGTGTATCTATCGAGCAAGAGATCTTTTTCAAGGTACACAGCCATGAGTTCCCACCAGCCATGAGTAATGCGCTGAAGATAGATCGTCAAGCAGTTTCCAAAGATCTACATGTAGCGGCCATATTCTGATTCACAGAGTAGGACAGATCGCATTGCAGCAGTGTACGCCCCAGCCTGGATAATGTACAACTCCCATCATTGAATCATCGTCAGAAAATCTGGACTTAGGTGCACGACCGAACTAGGGTTTTGTGTGCGGAGTCGCGATATACACTGATTGAAAAAGTAAACAAGGCCTGTTGTCCAATTTGACACCCGGTACGGAAACTGAAAAGCAGTAGTTTGGCATAGATCACCTGAAATAATCGAAAAACCTATTCCAATTCAATTTAATGGGTAGTAGTTTGTATATAGAGTAACAGTAGGTGACCGATGGCTAAATGAATTAGGAAGGCCTTCAGTGATGTGACAGAGAGGATTGATGGACGGAAAATCTCCAAGGATAAATGATACTTCCAAGTTGTTCAACTCAAATAAACGGATTTGGTTGAGGTAGTTCACCTTAAGCCTTTGACTGAAATGTCTGACGCACAGGACAGTGAGAGGAAGTAAGGGTGAGTCGCTTCTGGGGACCCATCCTGGATCCTGTAATGGAATTGTGTGATCAACTTGGCTGCGAGAGCTGACCTGCTTCGATAGCGCGCACAGCAAAGTACGGATGCCCTGACTTTTGATGCTGCCACACATGGTAGAAATTAAAAGTGGTCCCAGGACTGAGAACAAAGGCAAAGCAGATATTATGCAGGGCAGGAGACAAGCTGGGAGGTGACAATGAAGAAAGCTAGGAGACATCAGTAGTCACGTGTTTTCACTTGGGTGCCCTGTTGTATGTGTAGCGGATACGATCACCCGACTGATGGCAACGCATGATCGCCGATGTAGCACGAACATGCTTTTATTTATATAGTTTACGGTTTTAAGTAGGCTAAAATACTGCTCGGCCACCGAAACCTGGACAAGAAGACGATTGGGCATCTCAGCCAAGGTCATTGACTCGAGAGCCTGACCACAAAGGAACGGCGGTTGGGGCGGGACTACTGGATTAGTCCAACCCCGAGAGGCCAAGAAGACTGTTTGTTAAAGTATCATTTGTTAATCGCCCTGGAAGGAGACTGTGGACGTTACATGGGCATCCTCTAGCACGGCACAGTGTGTTACTTAGGCATATGAACAGTCGCATGTCGGTAGAGGCCAGTCACTTTGTGGTAACGTCACAGTGGCGTCACAGTGTCCATCCACATCAAGATTTTCTCCCCACTATGAAGTTTTTATCAGATTCCATGCGACTAAACGGTTATTTTCTTTGGGTTTGTCCGTTCACCAGTACTTCAGCTGTTGTAACAGTGGAAGCATGAAATACTGCAAACCGGAGCTCCGACGGTAAATAAAAAAAATCCAAACTCTGGGAGGATCTGTTCAAATGGAACTGGCCTTAGCAAACAAAATTCGGTGAATCAAGAGCACATACACTAATGATTCTGGGGAGGAAAACTAAGAAATTTGAGCCACACGATACCGTCTTATCGGACAGGGGTCAGTTGTAGGACACTTTCGGTTCCTAACTGCCATGCCAACCAAAGGAAGCACGACGGCTGGGGTGCTGCCGGGGTGTCCAGGCCTAGACAGGGGAAGTCGAGAGGCAGAGGTCGGGTTCGAACCACGGACCTTCCGGTCAGTAATTTCGCGCTCTAACCACTCATCCATCTCGCCCAGGGGTTAGATAATCCAGCTATCTGTCATCGCACCAAATGCACGAATAACGTGACCCAAAAATTGGCCTACTTGAAGATAGACCAATAGATAAACCTGGAGCCAACAATAAGATGTATATTACGACAAATTAGACGTTATTCTTTGTGGGGGTCATTTTGGTCGCACAGGAAGCTTATTGTACCATTCAGCAGAATACCGGTACTTATGAAGACTTGTCAAGTGGCGGCACACTGGAGGGAATGTTTTGGCAGAAAACCAATTGATCTCGAAAAGTGCAAACAAGTACGTTTATCAAACTGGTACGTTTAAAGCGTAGCACTTTTGACAAACTTCGGTTCGGTGAAGAGACTTCTAAGTGTTGTGTACACCCTCCTGACGTTAAACTCCTATCAGAAATCTTGTTAGTTCGAATCCTATTGAAGATTCGTGAAGAGTCTGCTGCTGACGATTCCCCGCACAGTGTTTCACAGACCTACAAGATGAAAACTGGGCTTTTTTTCTAAATAACACAGTTTAGGTAAAGTCATTTAAAATACGCGAATGGATAGTCTTGATTGAGCTTCAGGCATAAGCCGCGGATTTCGCAGTAATCGTTTGATTAGCGAGTGTGAACGAGGGATTTATACAACCAATAGCTAGAGGAGATATCAAAGAAAAATTAGACTTGAAAACACCAATCCGAAGTGTTTTGTAAATTTACCATCTCATCCGGTGGTTCAACACCAAGACTTTGAGCTGGGGGGCCATCCATCAGAATATTGATGTAGAGGATTTGCATAGCGTTCAGCGGAGTAGGCAACGACAGAAGGGTGGATAGAGCGATAAGCGAGAGGGCTGCGATCGATCTGGAAAGATAATTCACGTGCGCATAGTAAGTGTATGAAGGCGATGCGATCGAAATGACAAACCAACAATCGATGTAAATGTGTCTGTCCGCCATTGTTGTGTGACGAGCCCTACTAAAGTGAACCGATCGATGTATAATTTGCATTTGGATCATCCAAATCCTTACTAAACGATGAACAAATTAAAATCAAGCTCCAAACACTATGAACATTAAGAATACAAGTATTGAACGCCGAAGGAGGTGAACTGCATCTGAAGTAACACAATCATCGGTCGATATTCTATTGCTCATGAATAAACTGAGTAATAAGCCTGGTTCCATATGTTCTATTATCATTCTAACCTTAAACGCAGTCCACATACGCAAGGACGATAAGGAAATGGTACGAATGTTCAAAACCTTTTTAGCGTACGGGTTTTTGCCACTCATTTACCGACGATTTCATGAATTCCGGTTAGATGCGCAAGCAGCCTCCCAGTAGGAAGCGAACGGTGGCAAAAACTGGTGATTTTCACTACAATTACGCAAATATTGATCGTCAACTGTTCAACCAACAATAACGTGTGACGTGTGATACTAAAAATGAATCAGTGAGGATTCATTTCTTGATTTCATATCACCTTAGCAGGGACACTACCTGTTGACTTTTTACATACAAATATAGACTCGTGGCACAGCGATCAAGCGGGAACACCGATTTTCGCAAACTGACTGCCGTTAGCAATCAGTTACAACAATCAACGCAGTTCCGACTGTATTTGATCTGACGTGAATCACAACCGTTAGCGCAGCAATATCATTATGATTTGCGTAAAAAATATAATTATTCAGCTGTAACACCCCTTGGGAGCCTAGCTTTCATGCAACCCGAAGGAAGCACGAGGGCTGGGATACTGTCAGGTTACCCAAGTCTAGACAGGAGAAGTCGAGGGGCGGACGCCGGGTTCGAACTACGGACCTTCCAGTCAGTAAATTCGCGCTCTAACCACTGAGACATCTGGCCCCATCTGATAAAAAAATTGGAACTTCATACACCCAGCTGGTGCTCTTGTTGTATTGCAGCAGTCTACAAGAGAAATAATTCGACCCATGCAATTTTTTATGTGGAAAAATTCCTTGAGGCTCATAATTCGTGAAAAGTATGGCTAAAACGGTTAACTGTTCAACCGATACATGAAGCAACCGCCGAAAGACTACAACTTTGGCGCTTCAACCGGATTCATCCACGAGCGAGTGCTAACAGGCCCGCTGAACCAGCCCGAAGATAACATGGTGCCTGTTCGACCAACAGTACAGAAACATGCAGTGCTTTACGCGTCAGGACAAACCAACTAGAATGAATCTGCTGCTCTCACCGTAAGGTTATACAAGCTGTCGATTATGTGTTCATACTCCGTGACAAGGCACAAGTACCGAAGGGCTTTTGTAGTAAATAGGTTAGATTAAGATGAGATCCATTTCAATCGTCTCAAATCTATCAACAGCATTTTCGTGAGGTCGGGTTCGTTTGCCTTCACGGTACAGTTATTGTGTATGGTCCCATCAGATGAGCAACTCGAAAGAGGCAGAATAGACGTATTTTCATAGACGCCCATTCGATGGTAACCTCTATATCCACGGACACCTCTCAAGAGGACTCTCGTAGAACTTGGGTGCAGTGATTCCGATGGGATAGGAGTAGCAAGTCTGATGAGTGACAGGCTCGCGCCGACGAGTAAGGAAATGGTGAAATCATCAAGTAACAATGCATGCGGGTGGCTCAACAAATGAACCAGTCAGTGGCAGTAAATGGACTGTTGGAGTGAATTGTCGACCGCTTCATCAAAACTCCGTCTCCTTATCACCTCAATCCGAAGTCGCTGATCCCAACCAAACTCAGCAGCAGTTCAGAGGCGTCGGCGGTCAAAGACTTGAAGAATCCTCGCCCGATGCGGTCAAGTCTTTCAGGCATATAACAATACAGTCCAAACTTTAGTACGACACACATTGCTACTAACCCAGTGATAGTGCTTTTTGACAACAGCCGCTTTTGTGAACCTACATCACCTGTGGCGTGGGCGTGACATCAGCTTAACCGTCAGAGGTCGAGTTTACAATGTTGCGGTGCGATCCATATTGGTTAGAAACATGGGCGCTGCGTGCCAAGGACGTCAAAAGACTTTCAGTGTCTGACCACCGATTTCTTCGGAACACTGCCTGGATCAGCAATGCTGAAATACGTCCATTAGTATTCAGAAGAAATAACTCACCCAAAATAGATGACCCATTCACACTGCATAGGTTGCGCTGGCTTGGTCACGTGCTCCGCATGCCAATCGACCAGCTTCCTCGGAGGACTCTTGTCGCACAACCATGCGAAGAGCGGAAACGAGCCAGGGGACATCAAACAATGACTTGGCAGCGAAGTGTGAAAGCCATTACCAACAAACTCAGCTCGCTGGTCATTGCCGTCTCCCTGGATGGGAGCCGCGAGATCCCCAATGGCGGTAGCTACAACCACTGTACGATAAGTGCGCGGTTCTTACAGCTGATAATAATGATGACGGAATGGTCGAACGGTACGGTGTTGAACTACGTGCCAAAAGTTCGCCGGTATTTAGGACGTCCTGAAATGCTTACTGTAGATGATATTTTGTTCAAACACTGAAGCTCAGTTGTTACGTTATCCTGTGGGAATACACACCTGGCTCTTTACGAGTGCTCGCGCTAATCTCCGCTTATACCTCACTGGTTCAAAGCTGGTAAGTAGCAGCCAGTCCCAGTATGTTTGCGATGGACGAACCTGTGGATGTTTCCGTCACCTCGACGGTGTAATAGAATATCTGATTGTTAGCTTCATGTTCGATGCAAAGTTTGACTTAAGAATGGAAGTTACTGAAAAACCTAACAGGATTTTCTCCTTACTCCCGGGGTTCTGGTAGGTATCGAGACGTCAACAACACACCGGAGGTAAAGTGTTTATTTTACTTAGGGGATCTTCCGCTCCTTTCTCCCGGCTGACCAGAAAACGCTCGGTAAAATGGGTCATAGTGGACTTCTCACAGCCGATTCATCAACTTTTCAGTAATAAGAGCTTCGATAATTGAAATGAGCCTATTTTTGCACACTATAAGTGATCGCTTCAGTTCAATGATCGCTGAATCAAACTGTATGCCGTAGTATTTCGTTCAACAGTACATGTGTAAACAAGGGTAGCGGTAGCCATAGGTATATGCTTGTGCAAAATGTTCATAACGGACAGCTAGCGTCGCTAGTTGCAAACTGTCTGGTACCGTAATCATGGATACATCGAGCAGGTTGGCTAAAAAACGCTTATTGACCACTGCCAACTTGGGCTGCTGTGAGTTGGCCTTAACGGGACATCCATTTTGTGCAATAGTGGGAGTACGCAAGGCTATGGCAGCCGTTCACCCGTCGGTTCCATAGATCTGACAGCGGACGAAACGTCCCCGTGACGGACTAGGTATTTCGTGTGCTATTCCAACGTCAATGAGTGGACAAGCTTTTAACCCAATAAAACGTGTCACCCTTTAGCGCCAATTAAAGACCTCGCAACTGACCAAAACGAGCGCCTTCCACCGCACGGCACTTCTTGGAGAGCGGACATTGCGTCCAGACCGTGGTTCGCCCAACCGATAGAGGGTTGCTTCGGTTCGCTGATCCTTAAAAAAGGGGAGCTATAGCTACGTAAACAGAAAGAGTTGATCGCTTCGCTGATGTCAGTCGCTTCCCGACAAACGTTATTTCTTCATTTCTACCTTTTGCTTACTACGCTGCCTTACGCATCAGAAACGACACGGTGATTTTAGTCCTCATTATTGTGAAAATTTCCACTGTCATGGGTTCTTTTCAGGTCCGTTACACACGAAGGTATTGCCTCATACTTCCGAACCAATCGCCGGTGTCGTGCTACTTATCACGCATTAGATGATAGAAAACTTCGCATGAGATTTAAAAATATTCCAAAACTTGCTGACTGCGGTTCTTACAAAAACGAACTGGCTAGTGAAGGGTTCTGTCAGTAGCATCTTTGAGAGTTGTCATATAGAAACAACAAGCGATTGCTGCTCCCAATCCCCTGTCCTTCTTCGATCTGTAGAATCAACTACGCCACACTCAACTATGGCGCAAATAGCAAACATGCTTCGATCTTTTCAGTTGATGACGACCGGACTTACACGCGTGGGTTAATGTTCCGCCTTGCCATCAGATGTCAGATGACGTCACCAGACTCAAACGTATTCCATGACTGTAGCGACAGAAGTGACATGACCTGAGGTTCATCTCATAGAATCATACGCGACGACTGTCTACTTGGAAGTAGACAAACCCGACGTCACAGTTCATGGATTTGAGTCGATTCACTCGCACGGAGTTCACCATCCCAATCCAACCGATTTACTACGAACGCTCTTCAGCTTTTTAGACGTTCCAACAAAATTTTCAATCACAAGACGGTTACATACACAAAGTACGGTTCACGAAAAATGGGGACATCACGGGACCTACGAAGGAGATACACGAAATTTCAGATGTATCGTTGCGACCGGATTGAACAACACATAGTTTTGGACCAAGAGTGCGTTGCTACAAACTGAATGGAAAAGATGTTCACCAAAAAATAATAATATTGAGAGAGGAATAATGTTCGCAGCTCACAGCTAGCAGATGCTGGCAGTCTCTAGCAACGGGTCCTTATTAAGTACACCACTTTTGTGCGTTATGAAATAACGGAGAGATACTCGCCCCATAAAAACGATTGTCTTCAGAAAGCATAAGATTTAGCTAAGGGATTCGAGGCCCGAAATCATTGTCATTCAGCCGTAGCACCCTTTCGGTGCCTAACTACTATACCATCCGAAGGTTGCACGGGACCCATGTTAAATTCAATTTGGTAACGACCCGATTTAACTTCTTTCTGTGATCAGCAGTATCTATCCGTTGATTGATTTATCAGTTCACCGGTTTCCATTCGCATTTGGAAGTACTAGATAATGGCACGAACTGTCGACGAAATTCGCGAAAGCCAAAAAGGTGCTTGAATAACAGTCTGAAAAACCGTTGATAAACCTCATCACTTGTCGTACATTCGTTGTATGAAAAACAAACCGTGTCCAGCGAGTCATTGACATAAGTCGTAAACATGCTCTTGAAGCCGAAAAACACGGCCATTGTGTCAAAATACACGTCAATACAAGCCGTGTATGCGTGAAAGCAGAGCTTCAGGCGAGTGTTTTTCTTTCTAGTCGAGGAACTCATTTTCAGTCCGATAATTATCCGATCAATGCTAACAAGACAACATGTGAATGAGCACCAAAATCATTCATGAATTGAAGAAAAACAATCAAACACTTCGGCCGATGTCCACGGAATTGAGCTGATACTACAAGTGCTACGTGTCAGAGTTGACACTACGCAAGAAAATGGCTAAACAGTCGGTAGGTGAGTGTTTGATTGGGAAACGCGTGAGCAGATTATCAAGTGTACAGATGAAATCCACAAATGGGACTTATCGTGGGATCAATAATCGCCAACTTCAGCATGTTTCGCTGAGTGTAGCCACTACCGGTTGTTAACAAACGAAAATATTTGATAGGCCCGTGAGAAATTCAAGCGCTCCAACGCTATTCTTTTGGAACGCACCGACGTGTGCAACCAGTCGAAAACGGTCAGAGGAGCATTCAACATTTCAGGTAGCTACTTAGTTGATCTATCAAGAGAGTCCTCTCTGATGAACTCGCCAAACTATCTTAACGATGGTCAAAAGATGACGAAAATGAACGACAACTAGCAAGTATTCATAGTGTCCCGCAGCAATTATGTCTGCCTCCTAGGGATTGTCAGGCGCTCGAGTCACGAATACCAGGTCACCGCACCTCTTTAAATCAGACAACCTAACCAAACAAGAGTTCTCTATAGATGACGGCACACTGATATCCAAAGGGCCTGCCCGAACGATTGTACTGCTTGGAGGCTAAACCTATCCATCTCTCAGTGGAACGACTGACGAATAAAATGCTACCAATGCGAAATTTCCCAAGACCACACACCCTTCTCTTCGCAGAATGACTTGACTGACGGAAATTAAACCCAACAAAGACTGCTTGAAACGCGGGCAAGCAGATTAATGACAAACCGATAAGGATATCGGGGAAAAGGTGACGAAGAAAGCGACGGAGACATGCAGCAGGAAGGGAATACATAGAGAAAGCACAAAAACTCACGTGCTAAGCTGAAAGCCAACAAAGTTACGAATGTTGTGGAATATGGATTTGCCCTCTTCCATAGCCGCCAAAATAGTGGCGAAATTGTCATCTAACAGCACAATGTCAGCCGCCTCACGACACACATCGGTGCCTGCGCAACCCATAGCAATTCCAATGTCGGACGACTTGAGTGCAACGGCATCGTTCACACCGTCCCCGGTCATTGCGACTATAAGACCACAATGTTGTAGGGCCTATAGGGACATGGAAATCGAAAACAATGCAGTATTACTGGGAATGGACTCAAGTGAAATAAGGTACTGGACGATGGCTCACTTTGACAATCTTGCATTTGTGTCGAGGTCCAGTGCGGTAGAAGATGGTCACATTGCGGACTCTTGTCTGAAGCGCAGTCAAACTCAGCTGGTCCACTTCCTCGCCGCTCAGACAACAGTCCCCCTCTCGATAAAGGAACAGGCGTCCTCCTGTTTCCGATGTGAGAAAAAAACAGCAAATGAGGAACCTTGGCAAACCATGTTATGCATGAAAATACAGATAGGTTGTTTCACAAAAATGTGGCCATCCTTCAGCCTCAACTATGTAACGCACAGTAAAGTATTGGGAGAGAGCACAACCTGATCTTGGATGCACAGCTGTCACGCTACCCGAAGGAAGCACAAGGGCTGATATATTGTCTAAGCTTAGACAAAGTAGTTGAGATACCGGGAATGGGTTCGTACCACGGAGCTCCCGATTGCGTCATCACCGCTGGACTATCTCGGGCTTCGGTTGCCGAAGCCTGATGAGGCATGAATCACAGTTCAGTTGGTTTTAGTGCTACTACAATCACTGTCATACAGAATGATTCGCATGAAGGACGGGAAGCAAATGTGTCCGATGTGTTCTGCTTTGTAGCTTAACACTACGTGAGTAAATGTTCTCCAGGAGCCAAATAGGACTGCCCTGTTGAGTTCCTGAGTACCTCCAACTGTTTTCGGGGGGTTTGTCAGGGAATCTGAAGAAAGAACAGACTACAAGATTGAGGCAAATGAAGCACGAAATTCGCCCAATAGGTCTATGGTAACGCTGCAAACATTTATCAGTGTCAGTTATCGTGGCTTCAACATGCTCTCCAGATGTCTGTTGCGAATGGTGTTAAATTTCACCCAGAATTCGCAGTAAAGCAAAAAAGATGCCAAAACTTTTGGATTGAACAGGACGCGACTTTTCGTGTCCCTTAGTCAGAGACGCTTCAAGACTTGGCAGATAACTGACTGTGATGGGAACCTTGATGCACAATGNGCAGATAACTGACTGTGATAGGAACCTTGATGCACAATGCAGTGAGTGTTGGAAGTGCAGGCGCAACTTGAACAAACGGAAAGAATTCTGTCCAGGGAGAGGGGGGAATTAATTGAAATTTAAATTCTGGCATGCGCTGACTACTAGCTTTAGTTGACATAAGATGTATAGTCACAACATCGGTACTGCTGGAGCAGAACGTGGTTCATTCTGTTTGGGACTCATCAGTCAAATTCTATGCAGGTGAATGGCAACGTGACGTGGAAACAAACGGTTGGACTTTATGTGTACACACACTCTCCCCCTCCCTCTATACTTGTCGCACATGTCGCGACGTGGGTGATATGATTGTAGGCCCAGGTACGTATACGGGTCCAAGACCACGATTCGCGCGTCTTTCGGCAGCCTGTGGCTTAACAACGACAAGTCATTGTGTTTTCACTAAGGTTCATTCTACTTCTGGATTACGTTTGCAAAGATCTCATCCAATAATACTTGCAGTTAAAATTACTGTTGACTTGCTACTCATGAGCGACGTGCACGAGTGACTCGGATTATTTTCCCAAGAAGGTGGGTTGTAAATGACCGCTGACGATATATTGAGAAACCGAAATAGGCTTAGAAACATTGCTTTATGATACGTATGGCGTGCTAGATCGCAGCCAGAGTTGCAAAGTTCATAGAAAGCGCCAACAAGGACAAGATCCTAATTCGGTGTCAGAATGCACAGATATTTGGAAGGACGCAGCGAAGCGAGAGGGGGGTTTTGATGGTACACGCTTAACACACTATCAATCAATCAATCAACCGATCGATCGATCAGTCAATCGATCGATCAATCAATCAATCAATCAGTCAGTCAATCAATCAATCAATCAATCTATCTATCTATCTATCTATCTATCTAACTACCTATCTATCTAACTAATCAATCAATCAATCAATTTATCAGCCTTAAACCGTGTACCATAGGCACATTGGTTCCCACTGCTATAGTTTCGATCACCGGAAAACGAGAATATAATACTAGTAATAGCAGTTTCCAGAAAAAGGTTTATTTAGTTCAAGTGTGAAGAAATTTAGCGTACAGAGACTGAGATTTCCAGTGCGGTAGTGGAAAGCGAGTTACCTACACCGGCTAACATTTGAACAAAGTATGAAAATGTGAAAAAGTATGAAAATATACTGCGATATCTCGGATATCGTGCCAACTGAAACATGAGGCGGCCTGTGTGCAGTACATTCAGTTGAAGGATATAAACGAGAGATTAACTTGAGTCACCCGTAAAAACCAAATTGATTTGCAGATGAGTGTATTTGTCGAAATCAGGCCAATTTGGGTTCAAGTAGAATATAAGGTTGACGGAAACTCGGGGACTGCGCCTACCTGATGAGCCCCAAGAAGAGCAAAACCCGTCAAGGGCTGTCGAAGAGTTTTCAGCAACCCTGTGAGTAGTTTCCTTTATGAGAATAACTTTGTATTAGTTGGGAGTGGTTGTGGGATTCCTCAGATTATCATTCACATGACTATAAGTTGAGTGGTTTCTTCCATGCAAGCGCAATTAGCTTCCCTTTGATATGGAGCAACCGGAAGAATTGCGCCGAGACAAAAGGACTGTTCCAACGAGACTGACTTAAAGACAAGACTGGTATCACACAAAACGATGAGCTCAAGATCGGCCCTAAGCGGCGTTGGGAATGAAACACAAACTGTTGGATTTCAACCACCTATGTACTGTCAATGAACTTGTTCACATTAGAGTACGAATTTGAGGACAAAAATATTTTTTAGTTCAAGATCACTCTTAATACTTGTCATTAACACTGATGGTGCACGAACTGATAAGGCCAACCGCGTGGTATGAAGTCTACTTTGTGCCAGAACTAGCCGTCAGTAAGTACTGGTCCAAAAGTCAGGTTTCCACCAGAAACAATCCGACATGAGATTCGTATTCGTCCTGTTCTTTGGAAACGTCACTCAGTGTAGCGTGAATAATAAAAAAAACAAATGAAGTTGATTAAACTGATGACCAGCCACTCATGGCTAACAGTTAGGCTTCGATGTGTCCATCAAAGTGTGTGTGAAATGAGATGCGTGCAAGGTGTTATTCATTGTTGATGAGTTCCGAAAAAAGGGGTAGCCGATTCTCTGTTTCTCTGGACGGACTGGTCAACAGGTTGTCGAATGAAATTTCAATAGGTCTTCTGACCGTTTGAGCTGAACTATTTCCAGAAGCAGCCTGCAGTACGGACGGCATGGTACAACGGCCTCATGCCTTCACTAAACGACGGTAGGAATAACAAAGAGGATAAAAGACGCGACTGCATTCATATAAGAACGTAACTGGGTTATGTCCGTCAGTGCTACTGACGGCATATCTCCATTATTGTGTGGGTGATCTATGAAGCGAGAGGACTCACAAGTCAATATTTTCAAGTCTCATTGTCGAATCATTGTGGCTGTTTCCACTGTGTGGTCGATTTGAACCACGCGGTTGTGGGCAAACGAAGTTTCCACAGTCACTCTACGCTCTGTACAGAAATTAGTTCTTCCCAAAACGAAACCTCTTTTGAGGGGTCTCGGCGTAATCCCCACTCCCACGAAGACAATCCGTCAGCACAGCTCAAGTAACTTCTGTACGGCAAGTTACCATGGAGGCGGATCATTACGTTTTCACGAGAGTCCACCGGAACACTAATGTAGGTGTTCATAATCGTATGAGATTAACAAATTGATACAGTTTTTTGGTACAGATGCTACGAGTATTCTAAACTGAAGAGTCTGAAGCGCTTTCTAAAGCCCTCAGAAGATACTAAAGTGCAGTGGTTACCCGAATCATCACTGAGACAACAGGTGTAGCTCAATTATGAGCAAAAGTGGACATTGGCGTTTTTTTGGATGAGTTGCCCAAAGATCATGGGTTGTGAGTTCTGAGTTTGAATTTTCAACTCTCACCGTGACATCCTCAAATTGAGCGAGGTGGTTCGGTACTTAGAGCGCGAATTTACTGACCACAAGGTTCGTGGTTCGAACCCGACCTCTGCCTCTCAACCTCCCCTCTCTAGGCGTGGGCAATCTGGCAGTGTCCCAGTCCTCGTGCTTCCTTTGGGTGTTATGGCAGTCGGGCACCAAAAGATGTTACAGCTGAACGATTAGTATTTCTTATTACATTCTCAAACTGCTCGAAACACATGGCTAGCCGATGAGGTGTGAATATGAAAGATTTCGTACAACATTGAAAAAAAATGTGTGGTCACGAGGTGTGTTGCTTCTACGGAGGAGGTCCATTTAGCAACGCAGTGAGTGTCCGGTAGGTGGTCAAGTTGTGGAGAACACATCCAGAAAGGTTCACGTTGGAAGGACGGGAAATACCAAGACTTTCGGAGAATATCCTGATCAAGCAAAAAGTATTCCGAGAATATATCTCTCCAGATAGGTGTGGCCCGATTCTATTGGATGTAAATTTACATGCATCCCCGAAAGCAGCTGCGTACACACGGATTAGCCAGCATAATCAGCATTTCTAATACGGTTAACGGATATTATGGCAAATGTTGGCAAAATCGTCCAAAAGTGAAACGTCGGCAGGAGCAATCAATGACTGAATCTTCCGGTCTCTACAACAATCCCAGCATCTTGGTTTACCACAAAGTCTTCTCTGGACTTGAGTCTCAAGAACTATTTGCCAGCCTGTACCAAACATATAACTTCTTTTTTGTAAAGCAGAATACATTGGAAGCACGAAACGATAACTTGTCGAGGGAATGCACAAGTTGGTCTAATGCAAAGGTAAAAAGTTGTAGACACAGGGATCGGATTGCGCCATATATCGATTTCGATTCAATGTGCCAGCTATAAACCATGTATCGTGGGTACATAGGTTCCAGCTGCCAAAGTTTTGATCACCTGAAAGTGGGAGAGTGTGGGACATACAGCCACGCATTAGAGGCGATGGCACGTTCAGTTAGTTCGCGAACTGGATAACTACGCATTGAAGGTGATAGATCTGATTCATGAGCACAACTGACTACGCGATTGAGCCATTTCTGCCAATGTCATTAGCCATTGGTGAGTTGAGTCCTGGGGCCCCTATCCAGGGACCCGACTAAGTTTACTGGTTAGTGTTCTCATACTTCGTCGCCAGGTCATACACTGTCCATCTCCTGGTCGCTTCCTCTCAGTACAGGGCTGGGCGAAAAGGGGTGTGTGTGGCAGACGGTCCTCTGACATGTGGAGAAGATTTCCTAGCCAGTGTAACCTATGAAGCGTGAGTAATTGATCTATCGTGGGAGAATATATATCATCACATCATCATATGATCAACTCAAGTGAGCCATCAGTGTCTAGTATTTTGTTGGTATCGATCCAAAAGAGTGCCTCGAGAACAGCTGTGCCCGTCGCAGTGCGGCTACGTGACCTGGCACTATGAATCTTGGATTTGCCTCGAACATGCGAAACGCGCTAACAGACCCGCTCATCCAACAGCGCTCAGAACACGCATTGTCTAGTCAAAACGGGAAAAAATCCCACCAGTTAGCTGTGTATGTTATCCTTAGTGTTTTGCTTACCTGATGAATTTTATCCATTGTTTTGTCATCACCGTTATTTTAACTGAAGATGACCTCAAAAACATTGTTTCTCATTTCAAACCCTAGGTACGATGAAGCTATAAGATAAAAGCTGATGCTTAACTAGCTATCGCCTCATTAAAACTTGTTCGAGTGATCAGATCAGAACTTGGTACAATAAAACCACTAACCAATAGCTTTGGCTGTCTCCACCGAGTCTCCGGTTATCATCACGACACGAACGCCCGATTCCAAAAGAGTTCGTACGCAAGCTTCCACACCAGGTCTTGGCGGATCCAACAAACCCACGAGTCCATGGAACACCAGCTGCTCAGGATGAGAACCTTCGGCCAAAGCAAGAACACGCAAGCCAAGCAAACCGAGACTTGCAGCTTCTTCGAGAATCGCGCTTCGGTGCTCCAGAGTCAATGGATAGGGTGAATCAATTGACCGCACGGGTGAGTTATCAATGCAAACCACGTCACTGGGGGACTGACTGCCTGTCGAAGACTCAAGACTGTAAGGCTTGTGAACATAGATGCACTGTTGGAGAATCCGGTCTACGGCGCCTTTGGCAAAATACACTGGTCCTGTGGAAGGCTACAGGGTAAATAAGGAGGCGAATGTGACATACAGGTCAAAATGAACTCAGAAAGCGAATCATCCTAGTCGTTTACATTAGTTTAACTAGGAAGGCAGTCCTAAAAATAATTCGTATTCCGTGTTTACGAGAAAGATGAGAGGAGAACAATCTGTTTGGGCACCCAATATGTATGCGAACCTTCCAGTAAACAACATACTGAAACAATCGGATGCGATATATTGTGTAAAAAGCTCAGGCTAATAGCACGGCCTGGGTCTTGAAAAAAAAAACAATTAATTGTAAGTCGTGACTACATCCCATGTAGCATGTTTCATCCAAAGACTGGTGTAGACACTTCCAGTGTCCAGCTTCAGAAAGTTCCTATCGGAAGGTACTGTGCCTGACATTCAACTTGCTGGCATTCCATGTCATCAGCACCTACCGAGTACTCCTTTGATTCCAGAAGCTACGTCATTCACTCCCGGTGATCACATTTCCGAAACACTATTTTACAGATTCACGCACCTTGCATACTTAGCGAAGCCGTTGCCTACGAGTATTGAACACTTTTTAGTCAAAGCACAAAAGGCAGACTACACTGCCCCTCATGGTATTCTTGCTCGAATGTGTCCCTATGAAAGGCCAAACGAGAGAGACTGGTCACAATTGGCCCCTTCTGAGAAGGAGCTATCAACAGAAAGATGCTCCATGGGAACTGAGCCCGATATGGATATCTGTGCCATTATATTAAAGTGTGGAGTGCAACATCACCGTAAACCTAGGTCACCAATTAGGGTTGAAGCAGGTGGAAACTTACCACTTGTCCATTGCGCATGCAGCTGATCATCATCATCTTGGTCTCGGAACTAAACGACCATTCGTGTAGACGAGTATAAAGTTGCCGCATGTCGCCAATTCTAAACTGTAGAAAAGCAGGTTTAAGGAGAGACCCAATGGATGAAAAAGAGCGCTCACAAATGTGTCGCTATCGGCACCGTTGGTCGGTAAAGAAGCGTTCAATATCGGCACAAAAAACAGTGTTTTCAAAAAGATCCGCACGGAGAGAAACCATAGCATATGCCCATTACATAGTTGAGTTTAAAGTGAAGCGAGAAATTAGCATTCGCGGGACCAGGAAAGTCAAAATAGAAGGGACCAACCTACTAAAAAGAATGTGTCAAAATGTTGTCGAAGTATTGGCAGCTCGGGTGAGTATACTGGAGGTTGGTTACAGCCACCTGATCAGCCACCACCTGATCACCACCATCAATTGAACATTCAATCCCACCACAACCAGAAGGTACTGTGACCGCATACCCGCGGGTCGCCTGGTTACCCAGGTCGAGGAAGGGGGTTTGGTTGATTTACGTCAAAAGTCTGGCCAGTCAATGGGAGGAAATAGGGTTTTGTTCGGGGACTCTGTCCCTAGCCTCTCACTCAAAAGTCTGTACAGTGGGTCATCGGTTGTTGGAGTTTTTTTGGAGAACCTCCCCAGTGCCAATAGCTCAATAGTCTGACCTACGTGGCAGCAGGAGGCCGGCATGGCCCGAGGACGCAGGGAGTAAGGTATTACTGTCTCACTCCAAATGTTACTGCGTACAGCAGGTGGCTTCTGAGCACCGGAACTCTGGTTTTGAAACTATTCGGACTGCATTGAATAGTGCGCCGGCTAAAACGGACAACCATTGGGTGATCAGAGTGTGCGATTATTAGGGTCAACCTTCTCGAATCCATCCTTTCTCAGAGAAAGTCAACATCGCTGCTTTTAGAAATATGCCTGAGAAAAACGCTTTACTGCCTTCACGCGCCTACCGCAGGGGCCGGTACGGCTTTAAATCCAGACCACCTCGTAATATGATTATTCACAGTACGGGGACTTCGTCGGGCCACTCCCCGTTGGCCTTCCTGGCAAAACTGAACGTCTAGGAACCAAGTCCCAGCCAGCATATCCAGGAAAATCACTGCAACACAGCAGCCCGACCACCATGACAAGGAGTTGGTGTCTGTAGTTGTATACACTATAGTCACCTCGGTTTCAAAGTTTTTACCAGGACTCTGGATAGCCATCAGCCATATAGACGACGTAAGAGCTGCAGAGTAAGTCAAAGGTCCCAACGGAAGTGGTAATTTATGGCGCAACCGACGCTTCAAGTAAGGTTTTCAAAACAACATGCTTGGATCATAGAACGAACGAGCTCGGTCCACAATGTGTGGCTACCTGACCTCTTCACTATTGCGCTAGCAAACCCTCTCCTGAATACTGGACCAAGTTTTGAGAATATGTTAATAATGGGACTCCTACCTTTGTAAACAAATTGACGTCCAACCCATAAATGGCTCTTACCTGACTAGCCAAACGCAAAAGTGCACCTTCAGTAGGTTGTCCGTGAAGTTTCCCGTCTTGCAAAATCGCGTTGTTACATATGGATCCGATCTAATGAAAACAACGGTCAGAGAGGTTAGACGGAGGTAAACAGTGAAGCGTTGACTGACCTGAGAAACGAGTGAATATCTGTGGTGGTGATCAGTTAACTGTCCACCAGATTGGTATGGTCGATGAGGAAACCTCGAACAAACTGATAACTTGTGGAAAGTTGGTCACTAATGGCAGTTTTTTTTGCGAAAAGATTCACACATGTACGAAACAAACCAAAGCCATTTGAAACGATGGATGCATACGGTCACTACGTGAATCAATCGTATTGGTTTCTCCAACCCTAAGCCAATTGACCGTAGTAACGTTTTTTTTGTGTACAAACTTTGTTGATAACGTACATTAAACATTAGCCATCTGAACGATATCAATAGGGAGTGGGGTTGTGGAGCGAAACCCGGAGATATCAGCAGGGAGTGGGGTTGTGGAGCGAAACCCGGAACGCCATCAGCTCCAGAACTGTTGGCTTGAGTAAGCCTTTTCAGTTTCGGTTGTGAACTCGGGTAGACTGCTCACACAAATATGGAAACATGTTCTCTGAAGTGCACCCCTGTCCCTGTACACAATTGTAGCTGGATTGAACTACGGCATGTGAGATAGAGAGCTTGAGTGAAATATGTGTCTCAGTTTGATTTGCTTCGTTAAAAGTTAGGGTAGTTGAGTGGTTGTATGCGTGTAACCGATCGTAGCACATAGTTTATGCCTCACATCAGTAAATTGAGTCCCATTGAAAACACCCATGATGTAGGGATTACACCTTGTCGGAATATCAACAAATTTTGATCAGCTGTCGGTGGATAACGAAATCTCTGTTACAACTTCTTTATAGTGAAAAGAACCAAAAGTACAAATCCGTCCGCCTACCAAAGTTTGAAGGTCAACAGGGTAGATTTTAATTTTAATACCACCTGGTTAAAGTTGGCGTTTAGTGACAAAAATATCCAAAGAATCAAGACCAACGACAATTTCTACCTCAAAAGATGACGTTAATTTGTGGATTAAACACTCATTAACCACGATGGTGTTGACATGGGACTCAAATGAGACTAAAAAAACCGTTCGAAATGCACATGGAGTACAATATCAGATTAATGGAGATTCGTAAACCGGATGGTCTTCAAGAGGACAGTGGTCTGCTCATATTCCCATCAACCTGATAATAACGTGTCAACGAGAAAAAATCGATATTCTGAGTATCGGCACCTTCGACTGGAGAATATTGCAAATGAAAAATCTAGTATAATTAGAACGCTGTCGACATTTTAGGTTGCAAAAGCATGTTCACTCCCACATGTATCCAATTAAGGATGCGAATACTTCGCGGGCTATGTAGGCTTGCTGGGATCCAAAAGAGCGAAATTGATAGTGAGCCGTCGGAGGGTTCTCAACGACCTCAGAAGTGGTATCCTGTCTGGGCTGTTGCACGTCCATACCATGAAAAATGTACACAAATTGCGTATAGTCTGAAAGGACTAATATGTCGTCTATGCGTTGTTCCTGAAGGTTTGTAATGTGCAGGGACGCATTCTTCCCAGATATGCAGACAAACACGAGTACGCAGAAGCGTTCTGGTTCAAAATTCATTCACACACCGCGTCTGTGTCTGTGAGGATGGATTACCGCAAGGCAATGACCAAAACGTGGATGGATAAACATGACATTCAGTCGAACCCGACTAGGCCACTGAAGATGAATAGATAAACTGGAGATAGTCATACGTACGTATAGAAGAGCAGGCATACTATTTCTGTCGTAGATATGGTTGATTACCAGGTAAGTTATCGCAGTGTTGGCCTGGTGGACATCACCGTGAGTTATCAGTCGAACGATCCATTCTATACAACAGCCGGACCGATTTACATGAGGGTTAGCGTAGCAATCAAGCTCATATCCTAAGACAATCCTGAGTCCGATATTCAACAAAACAGCGCTAGTAAGGAGTAGATGAGTATAGTTCAGAGTGTAAAAGTAGCAGCTAACTCCAGTGTGATTAAATCGATAACGGGTGTAGCGGAAGGATGAACAAGTCATAATTGTCTCAAAAAACAAGGAATAACTCAGAGTGGTTGGATCAAAGTGGAATATGATGCGGCCAACCGATGTCTAAATAGTCCTCACTTTTCAACGGCACTGCATATTTCCAGCAACCCTGAACAATTTCTCATCTTCCAAATTTCAACGGAGTTGTGGTCTGTGCTCCGAAAATGAGCAAGCTATCAAACCACTGCAACCCGGGATGAAACTAAAGGTTTTGGTTAGGTTGTAAAAACCCCGTTCAGCTGTAGCACCCTTTCCGTGTCTAGCTGCCATGCCACATAAAGGAGGCACGAGGGTTGGAATACTGCCAGGTTGCAAAAGCCTAGAAAGGGAAGTCGAGAGGCAGAGGTCGGAACACGCAAAAGCCTGAAAGGGAAGTCGCGAGGCAGAGGTCGCAACACGGACCTTCCCGTCAGTAGATTCGGGCTCTAACCACTTGGTCCGTGATCATGGACCTATCCGTGAAAGGAGATCCAAACAAGATATAGCATTTGAAACGTTAAGCCCGACTGAGGAACAACGAATCAGACAGCCATATCAGAGGCTCAGTGTAAACAAGTGGAACGCGAGTACCAAGAATGAAAAGGCCTACAAAAGCCCCGAGATGAGGTGCTCCAATGTGACAGATTCTCAACAAGCAAAACACAGCTCGTCATCAAACGAAAAAGACAATAATCTAGAGCGATTCAAAAATAGGGTGGCTCAACTGTAGTAAAGCACCTGATGGCTGTGGACAAAACCAAAGGTTTCTTTTCTACTGTCAACTAGGAAATATCTTGTACGTTCGCCTGTGGCTTTATCGGTTGTCCATATGTTCTTCAAGTTAGGGAGTTTGTTTGAAAAATTTCTACTAAGACTTGAGCGGGTAGAACGTTTAGAATACTATCCCCAAGCTCCAGATAGACGTGAACAATTGATAAGCCAAGCCGAGCTGACGACATTCTCTGACGTGCCTAGTCCGTGTTTTTGTTCTGTCCGATCTAAGTAGCACTCACCTCAATAATGCGCTGGAAAGCGGTGGGACAGGATGAAGCTGACAGAAGATCTACAGTCGAGTGTGTCCGTGAATTGGGATAGATAGAATGTGAACGGAAAAGCGGAACCGCAGACTCCGCACATGGACCAACAACGGAGCTCGAATCCGCTGAAAATGTGCGATGAATATTGGGAGTGGACGATGACAAGGCTAGGGGTAATCCATCCAATCTCGACTGGACCGTGTAGTGTTCCAAATCGCTCGACACAATCTGTGAAACAGTCATTTCATTTTTTGTCATAGTTCCGGTTTTATCCGCGCACACCACATTCACACAACCTAGAGTGCGATCGAGTGTGTAAGATGGGGTAAAAGCAAAGATTCAAAAATACGCACATGAAAACATATTGGGAAAAGTGATGGTAAAAACAACATGCAATGTTGTGTTGAAAGTAAACCGTCCCCTTCTCACATCGATTGTGGTCTCGCCCCTAGCGACAATGCTTGACATACTCGTTACAAGCTGCAAATGATCTAGGCTGCGGTCCGTTAACTAGGCCTAATTAGCATAGCTAATGGAGCCTGCAAACGCCAAGTGAACTAAGGAGTTCCAGGCCGAGATCGGCTCGAAAAGTGTTGAAAAAGATTCAGCGCCATGTAGTGTATCATATGGAATTTTTTTCAACCATACAGTCAAAACAGAGCGTAGTGGAATCGGTTGTTGTCATCCGACGTTTCGGTTGCTGTGGGCGACCTTTCTCAAGTATTTCTACAATTAACTGAATGCGACTCAAATGCAACGTCATTTGGATTGGACTTACTGCACACCCTAGCAGGCATAGTAAACAGATGTCAAGCAGGGAGCTCAACAATGACGCATCACAGCCGGCACAACAACAGACGAAAGCACATCCTAATCGGAGTACACACACACACACACACACACACAAGAACGCACG